ATCCATAGTTGCCTCGCTTGGCAACTGCAGTTTCTAATATTTTAGTTGTTATTAGGAAGGCGCTGCTGCCAATCTCCTTGTTTGTTTCCCTCTGTCGCCACTTACGACATCTACGGGATAATATGTAGGTAGTAGATATTCTTACACCGCCAATACACGGTAATCTGAGTAATTAGTAATTATATTAGAACCAAATTATCACGCATTAGAACCAAACGGTTTATTTATTCATCTCTTGGGAAATGGGGAATGTAGAGTAAGTATATTTCATCATCATTACATGATGATGAAATATATTATTAGATATTCTATTAATATTCTATATAGATATTCTTACATTACATTCTTTCACCACTACACTGTCGGATGGATCCTTTATCGATTTTTATACCCAGAGATTTTATCCGCGTAATGACTAATAAATATTTTCATTAATTTTTGAATAAATTGTAATTATTTTCCTTTCTACTCAAAAACATAACAAATAACTTTGGTACCTAACTCTATTCTGACCGTGGCAGATGGTAGCCCAAGGATTAAACGCTTGACATAAATTTCACAGTAAACGATCAAACTAAAAAGGTTCGACCTCCGCTGGCATCAATGAACTGCTGATTGCAATTTTAAGTGATGGTTTCCAACGTGCTAACGTTGAAGGAAAAATGAGGAGATTGACGGAAATTGTGCCGACAAGCATTGGGGCAGCGTGACGGACACTTCCTTGCCCTAAAAGTCTCTCATAATGAGAGGAGGACTGTGCTGAGCAGTGAGACTTATATAGGCTGTGTACTTCACTTTACTTTACTGTTGACTGTCTCATTGGTCTAGGGTCTAGTGGTCGTAAGCGTGAATGTCAATCGTGGTCCTGGGCTTGAATCCTGAGTCGGTAAATCAGTCACTGGGTTTTTCTGCCAAGAAAAGTAGTAGCCCGGAGTCAAGTTGAGGTGGTTTTACTTCCGTGCCTCGGAAAGCACGTAAAGCCGTTCGTCCTACGCTTGATTTCCCTCCGGTCGTATCGGATTTCCTTCTCATCGGATAATGAGAGTAAAGTTGGCAACAGAGTTTGCACCTGAACTTGCGCATACACCCATGCACTATAACCCTGTCCTGCTTTGATGGCTAGCTAGTATTCGTTGGGACTGGCTAATGTGATTGAAATTATTTCTGGAGGCCATTATTATTTTACAGTACAGTTACAGTACAATAAAACATACAAATTCGTCATCATCTTGGTATTTATTTAAATAAGTATATCAAATTAATATGTCAAATAACTTAAAAGTCTACTTAAAACGTAGACTGGCTGAAAAAAAGCAAGTAGATAGGAAAATCGAAAATAATAAATAAATTACTAAACATACATAATAGGTAGGTAGGTAAAATATATGTATAATTTTTACATCTATAAAAAATCAATGGCAGTTAATACAGACTAATGTATGTAATTATAATGTATTAACTTAATGCTCTTGCAGTAAGATAGAGATTAATTAGATATCTCTTAATATTTATGACATAATAATCATTCATGTCTAATTTATTTATTTTTAAATAGTTTTTACCAAATTTCATAGCCTGATATTTTAAACACGACTTCTAATCTAAAGCTAGAGTAACAGAAATAATGGCGGTAGTACATTATATAGATAATTTTATAGCATAATTATTTATAATAGAAGAAGAGAGTAACATAAATTTTATGTATGATAACCGATAAATAAAATATTTCTACCTTATTTTAATAGTATAATTTAACGGAAAGGGAAACTTACTTCATAAGTTAATGGCACATCGTACCTATCATTCATAATATTTTATTATATATTATGAAAATTCATAAAAAAACATCCCTCCAACAATATACAAAGACGTATGCGCGAGGTATGCCTATGCCTGTTACAATTTTAAAAACATTCAGTGTCAATATTAAAGTTCATTGGTAACGCTTTTTTAAACTAATATTTTAAAGGGAAATATACATATAAAATAATACTACTACATAATTAAAGTTATACAAATATTCAAGAGTTAAGTCTATCTATCTACAATAGTTATGAGTTATTTATACTGGTGGAATACAAACGCTAGCATATTATTTTCTTATTTCGGCATATTTCTAAAAATAGTAAAGACCATAGTTATCACTTACACAATTGTTACAAAGTCAACATTTATCGTGTCTATCACAATGTGTACCTTTTAAGTGATGATAATATAGACATATTAAGCCATATAAAATTTTTGGTTAAGCGTGAGTTTTTCTTAAAAGTGACTTAAACTCACATTGATAACAATCGACTCAGTTACATCATGTATAATCGCATAATTTCATTTTATGGAAAAATAAATCACACTAAATAAATAACAAGTGTAATGTAACTACAAATGATAATGCGTCGTATACCAACGTTGACAACAAAGAAGAACTAAGGGTACCAGAACACCGGTCTCCCTATATCTCATAATTTCAAAGTTCCCCATGCTGTCCCCTTTAAAAGAAACACACTGTGCAGTTATCGGTATTATTTACAAGAAATGCATACTTATATTACAAAGGAATGAAGTTTCGAACTGTCAATTATGGCACTAACGCGAGCAACAAATAATAATTAGCTTCCATTTCATCCTAATTCCTAAATCATGGACGAACACAATCTTATATAAAATAAAAATATGTACTTTACATCGTACTTCACGTTTCCCATTTTTTAGCTTCTTGGCTTCAGATAGCTAGATTTGTCTAAGTTTTGTAAAGAGCTACAACTATAGATGAGATCTCATTTTGAACTATGCCTTACCGAACGTATCTCCTATCAGAAGTCATAAACAAAGCTTATATCACATTTTTAACGTTTAAAAAAATAATGACACATTTTTATATTTATTAAGTTTACTATCGATATAATGCATGCTAACTCAATACTAATGATGATAATTTTGTAATTATGGCTAAACATAACGGAATAAACATTAAATCTACTCTCATAATTTGTTAGAGCTTATTTATAGTAAAAATCATACCAATGAATAAAAATATTTTTGTAATACTATCTCAGACCAAAAAAGAAAGAGAGCAACGTAGAAACTAAGCCACAACCATGCCTCAATTATTGTAAAGAACACGCCTTCACTAATTTGTAATTAACAACATGCTTTTGGGTGTTGTCGGACTGTTATGGAAAGAAGGAAGAAAGACTTGTGCTTGCGTACGTGTCATGAAGTTGAGCATGATTTTTGCGTCACTTAAACGTACGCAGTGCTCTTCTTCCGTCTTTCTTTCATTGTTGGTCTGAGAATACTACAAAATTATTCTTATTATTATCTCTATGGCGTTCGGAGGATATTTGAACATACATAAGAAAAAATTGAGAAAAATTTTACTGTTTGTTATAACAGTTTTTGTAAATTTTCTTCACAAATAATGGATTTATAAAAAAAAACTGAGTTCGGACATAAATTGTATACTTAAAATAACAAGTTGAAGCTCTGAAGCTTATTACTTACTAAAACGATTACATTTTAAATTATATTTCTTTCTATTAAACTAAGTCGAGATTTATTTGGTAGGAAATGGATACAAGGGACATGCTGGTTCATTAACGCGAGGTAATAAAGAGCTAAGCAGATGATTTTACCATTAATATGTTGGTATAATATGTACTTTTTTACTAAAATATAAGTTTTACATGAATACTGATAACGTAAATAGATCTTCCTTCCTCACAGAGCGCTAGCACCTCTCAGATGCAGCTTTCGTTTTATTCGTAATACTCTGAAAAAAAAACGCAAACAACATTTTATTATTAAACCATCATGTTCATTTACGCAGAAATGAATATACAAAGTAAATTATTAGAATTTATACCCAACAAGACGCTAAATTAGAGTTGGAAATATTCTAACCAGTGTGGAGCATGGTCTTACCACGGTGGAGCTGACCCATTCGTGCTACAACTATAACATAGCTGCAGCGTGGTACTACCACGTATAAACTTGTTTGGTTCTATTATAATTTATTGTTAATAAACAATTTTTAGATAAAGATTTATTATACTAATATAGCCATTCACATGTCCACTGCTGAACATAGGCCTCCCCCAAGGAATGCCACAAAGCATGGTCCTGAACCATTTGCATCCATCAACTTCTTGCATCTCTTACTAGGTCGTCAGTCGATCTAATGCGACACCGCTGTACACTTCGCTTAACAGTACGAAGCTGTGACTAGAGAACCTCACTTGTCCAATGGTTGTCAGCCAGAATTTGTTGAATTGTGATGTCGTCGTGGCTTTAATTATGAATTCTAACATTGCACATTTTAATCAAATCACGGTTTTTGCCAAAATAACTAAACGGAAGTAGTTTTGCTGCAGCTATATTAGTAGTATAGTTGTAGCACGAATGGGTCGGCTCGACCGGGGAAGGACCACGCTCTCACAGAATACCAGCGGAAAATAGCAGCTTCATGCTGCTGTGTTTCGTATGGTGAGTGTAGAGAACCGGAGACCTTTTTTACTGAAAAAGAGGCATTCTATATTAGTCCTCACGGATGACAACGCATCTGCATTTTGATTCGCAAACGAGGATAAATGTAGATGTCTATGGGCCACAGCGACCACTTACCATCAGGTGGACTGTGTGCTCGTTTGTCACCCTATCCTATAAAGTCATATTTATAAGAATATCATGATATCCATCCATTACAGCCTATAAAATTTCACCGTCGAACATAGACCTCCCCCATAGATTGCCACACTTCGTATGAGGGTAGGCAAACGCAATTTTTTTCTATAATTTTGAGTTGTTATCAGGAAGATGCTGCTTCTTATCTCCTGTTTCAGTTTTCTTGTTGCCTTTTACGACACCCTCGGAACGATATTTGGTAATGGATATTCTTACATACCTACTACACGATTGATCATGAAAAAATAAATATAAGCAACGTACCTCACTTCGCCAGATCGGCAAAATTGACTAGTAGAAGCGTCGCTGCGCGCACATCAATGGAGTATAGGCGGCGGTGGTCGGGTGCGGTTGTTGTTGGGCTTCGGTACCACTGCCGGGTCCAAGTACGTCTTCTTGGTGGGGCGGGAGGCGCGCGGGAAGGCCTTGCGCGCGCGGGCGAGCCACGGCGGCGGCGGGCCCTCGCACCAGGCCGCGCGCGCCCAGCCCACCGCCTCCGCGCCCAGCCGCGTGCACTCGCGCGCATACGCACGGTACGCCGCGCAGTGACACCGCTTCCCCGAGCAACTGCACGCGTCCAGCACGCACGCCTCACGGTAGTTGTGCGGGTTCACTTTCCCCCGGCAGTCCGCGAACGCCTCGTAGCGATCGAACCCGCGGCACAGCCGACGAGCTTTCACCAGCTTCGACTGTTGACATCGCGAGCTCAGACTCGGACGCTCCAGCGGACGCGAGCAAGCGCGACGCCCGCCGACACGCCACGAAGAACCGAACCGCCATGGATCGTTTGAAAGTCTACCGTCACGCGTTCTCATATCGTCCCGAGCCACCGAGTTAAAATTTCCACACAGACCACACAATTTACCCTTATACACACTGGATACAGTCACCTCTAAAAATCCGTCACCGTCCCATAGGAGTTGGACTCCGATCTCAGACTTTAATAAAACGGATCCGTTGCTTCGCGCGATATCGGCCACATTGTTCATTTTGTATGGTAATGCCACTCTTTGTCCGTTCACTTTTATGCGCATTTTTCGTCCCATATTTATTTTAGTGGAACCAATACGCAAAGTTGCTGTACGAGTCCACGAGGAATGTGTAGTATTTCTTGCGTCGTTCGAAATTCTGATCGAAAATGTATGATTTACACAATCTGATACCAATTGATATTTGCACGATCCTTGAAAACTATAAAATTTGCCGTCGAAAGTTTTATAGTGCGGATCGCCGAAAACAGTGCAAATGCCGTCGATGTCTACGCACTTTGGACAACATTGTCCAGGCAGTTGTCGAAGATTTTGGTCGGAAGGACACGACAAAGGAGGACATCGCTCCATGGCACATCTAGGTTCGCCGCCATGACATTCGCACGACTTACACGCATCTAACTGCCATGTTTCACCATCCTGAAATTATATTAAAACCACACTGTTAATAGTCTACACAATTTGATCACCTAAATCAATCATTTTCGTTATTTAATATTATTTGATCGGTGTAATTTTTTTTTAAATTCGGTAACCGAAAAAATTACTTTATTTTAGTTTTAACAGCTTCAACTAGGTGCAGTCGATTGCAGTTGGTTAATTTTAAGTGTATTCAATTATCCACATTACCTACCGTCGCGTCGCTGTAATTGCTTGATAAGTGTTTTCGTATTTTCGACAATGGCAACAGAAATCATTTTTATTTTAATTATTATTCGATCTTTAGTACAACTAGTTTTGGTCGAAAACAAACGACATAATATGTACTTTAAGTCGATGTATTCAATTTTGAATAAGTGAATACATTCCCATTTTGAATAAATCGAATAATTCAGCTAAAAGCACTTTATTCAACATCGAATATGAATGCACCAAATTGTCGCCGTTCTGTATGATATTAAAATAAGTTACTCTTTTAAAATAAAATAAAGCCAAGTTCAGATCGAAATAAGTGACATTATAACTTTAAACTTTATTTCATTGTACAGTTTTATATAATTACATTTTTAATTTTTCAGATTACAGTAACAAAAACATAGCAATAATAACTTCCTAAAAAACAAAGGATAATTTACCTGGTAGGTAACACCTCCTATAACACATGCGGCTTTAGCTTCTTCAACGTGCGGGCACTCTGGGCAACACTTCCCAGGAGGGGGCGGCAGAGCGCGAGCACCGCAGGTTAGAACTGGGCATGTGTGACGCGTGCATACAGTGGTTCCGTTCATGCACGTGCAATCCGTGCAAGGGTCTACTTGAAACCGACTGAAGTGTGCATGGTATTCTTTACCAATAATGCATGGCTTCGGTATTAAACCACCTGAAACTGTAAAATATAAAATTAGAATAGTTTAGAATAATCGTTATTGATATTAGATGTTAACTAGCTGGAATAGCCACTTTTGGTAACTGATGTGGTTTCCATCGAAGTCTTTGCTCTTCGATAATGGTACCATTCTGATAATACTCGTTTTTATAGAATAAGTTTGACAAACGAACACATAGTCCACCTGATTTTAAGGGGATGCTGTGGCCCAAAGATAGCAGCATACCTACACCTACTCTCGATTAAGAAACAAAATGTAAACGCGTTGTCACTCCTGAGGAGTAAGATACAATGCCTCATTACCAGTAAATAGGGTCTTTGATCGAACTTTAGGATAAATGAGAAAGATCTCTTGGTTTCCGATAGATGGCGGTTAAACCATCTCCTTAACTTTAGCGTAAAATACCCAGATTGGTGACGGGAAACAGCGTCAAAGGTTCCGAGACGTCTGGTACTGCGAAGACAATCGTCATCAAACGTCTCGGATCTGCCTGCCAGCGTGACAATTAAAGCAAATCCTAATGATTTCTTATATTTACGCGCACACTACACATTTTAATAAAACTAGTTTTACGGATTTTATCTCCTATTTGATTCCCTTCGTGATTTTTGGTGCTGTAAAGTGTACGAAACTTCGGGAATATAAAATAAGTTAATATACGCGATAAAATCCGTAAAATTAGTTTTATTTAAAGCAAATCTTCCCTACAATGGGAGAGGCCCATGTCCAGCTGTGGATTTTCACGAATTTTATGATAATGATGAAAAAGGCGAGAAGTGGTAGGACACCTTTTCTACTTAGGAGTCTGTCTGTTTTTTTTTAATATAACTGGCTTTACGGCTCTGAGTTCCTGCCCTTCTGTGCCTGAAGTTAGAATGTATAATTACCAGCAGACAGCTGACAGTTGGCGATGGTATCTCAAGGTGCCTAAATAGACAGACACATTATCTTGAGAATCACATCACCGTCAGAGCACTTGTTTCACCGTTTCCACTAATAGTTCACATGCGCAGACACTTAATACACAAAATCGCACCACTTTCACATATCAAATTCCACTTTAAACCATTATTTAAACAATAATACAGGAGCAGCAATCCCCCACCGGTCAAGTTCCCTCCAAAACTCCAATCTGTCTGATGATATCTCCGGTCTGAAGGGTATAGAAATAATTATAGGCTGTGAAGCATTCCATATTAGTCCTCAGATGTTAACAACGCATCTGTAGTCTTCTTTGTATGAAGTTGGCTGCAGGTGTCCATTGGCTGCAGTAGCCACTTAATATATGGTGGACTATTGCTCAAATACGCAAACGCTACTCAATTTTAAGATGCCATTAATTCTCGTGCTGTGTCTATCGCTTTAAGTCAGTGACTGTAACAACACGAGACATAACGACATCCTAAATTTTTTTTTTATAGGATCGGGTGACAAACGAGCACACAGTCCACCTGATGGTAAGTGGTTACTGTGACCCATAGACATCTACATCTATCCTCAATAAAGACTCAAGATGCAGATGCGTTGTCACCCGTGAGGACTAAGATGGAATGCCTCTTTGCCAGTAAAAAGGATCTCCGGTTCTCTACACTCACCATACGAAACACAGCAGCGTTAAGCTGCTATTTTACGCTGGTTTTCTGTGAGAGCGTGGTCCTTCCCCGGTCGAGCCGACCCATTCGTGCTACAACTATAATATAGCTGCAGCATGACTCTACCACGATGAAATTGAGTAGCGTTTCAATATTTGGCCGTATAAGTTGTAAAAAACCATGTTTACCATGAGATTAGGGTAAGAACAATCTAATAATTTATTGTTTGCTAACTAAATTATTCTTTTTCTTCTTCATCAGCAAGATTTGATTTGTATTAAACGTTTTTTTTTAAGAATATCATTTCATAATACACATTTGTGTTACAAAATAACAGGCAAGAAAATATTTCATACCTCGATCCGTGTCAATCAATACGTTTGACTACAAAGGGGCCATACTTAAGAATAAGCAATTAAATACATTTATTTAGCCACCTTTACCCCCAAAAAACAATTCCATCTTTCGAGGTTGTCCAGAAAAGGGTGTGTTATGAATATTTTAAAAATATGTATAAAAATGAACGTACTCGGAAGAATTTTGTCTGCTGTGGGGTGAGAGCATCGAGGGCAACACTCGCCGGGCGGCGTGTGCTGGTGAGCCCGCGGACAAGGCAACACAGCGCACGCACGCTTCGCACATGACAATGTGCCACGCACGCAACGGCACGATAGACACGGCTCTTCAGGCACGCGCACATCGCGCCCTTCTCCGACTCGCTGCCCATTTATTACGCACTCTATGAAGTTGAAAAATATCAAGTGGTATTAAATAAATAATCTAAAATTAGCAAAAACAAGACAGGTATAACAACAATTCCTTACAAATTTCAAATAGTGCATAAAATGCTGAGAATAAAAACATAAAATGTTACAGACTTATCTAATATTAATTTCCTTTAACGTTGATTGTATCTACAAGAAATAATTGCTATCGCTAAAGGCTCAGGTTTTGCTTTCATTTTAATTGAAAGCAAAACAGATAAATATACAGCTGAAATTGTTCGTACATCGTTCATCAGCTACGCGCTATCCCGATGAAAGTATTTTAGTTTCAATGACTTATATCAGCATCTATACAAATAAATAAAATTGACGTGTCTCTTTGTAATGTCAAAATAACAAATTTTTTACTAAATGCATATAAAAGTTACGGTACGTACTTATAACAAAATATCAATTTATAATATTTTTGTCTGTCTGAATGTTTCGGCTAATCTCTGAAATAGCAGGACCGATTTTGATGCGACTTTCACTGACAGGTTGCTGATTTTATAATAAGTAACATAGGCTGCTTTTATTTTAGCAAAATAATTAGGGTTCCGCGCAAAAAAAAAATTTAAACCCATGAAATCCAATCGTAATAAATTACATGCGGACGAAGTCGCAGAGAACAGCTAATAGAATATACATCAATTCGGAAAATTCAAAATAGCACCTTATTAATCACTTGCATTACCAAAAAGAAAAGAGGAAGACAGTAAACTGCTGGAAAACTCAGAAAGTTGATTCACTTTCTTAAATATCTTTTAGACTTTAAGCAACAAAGGGCAATAAAACAAATACGAAAGGGATCATCCAAAGGATGGATGAAATCTTATAGTAAGGTCGTTATAAATCGTCGCATCAGGAAACTGTGATCAAGGCAACACACAGGTCAACAGACCAACTGACGTCACATTTTTCTACATAACAGATTAAATTTCGATCGATCCTATTATAATGAATTTCAAATAATTTATATTTTTTTCTTTAAAAATACCCTACTATTTAAGTAGGGTCAATTTTGTTGCATATAGTTTGTTGATAGTAAAACACACCTGACTATATTATTCTACTGGGTAGGATATGCGCAAAATTAATAATAAAATAAAATAATCAAAATATCTTTATGTAACAGAGAACCCATACAAGAATGTATACTTAAATAAAGTTGAAGTGAAATATAAATTAAATTATAGTGTTAGTAATTAAATTAATTTACATAAATAATGATCACAAATGTAAATGGAGATGTTTGAGATCAGCCGCTACGAGGGTACCGGTGTCTTATACCGTGGCATGTAGCCGTATCCAGCGCTCAAGCAGCGGCGAGTCCCACCTATCTGCCATTGTCTTGAGAATGCTATTTATTGGAGCTGCCCCGCAAACGCTTCAGCATCGGTGTAACACGCTTTCTAATAATGGCATGGAAACCATCAGTGTGCATTTCAGAAAACATTCCTGGCGCATTGCAAAAGCGCGACAGCCCCATCAGCAAAATGAATGCATCTACATTACTTTTATTAGTTTTTTTAAGTACTTTATCATATTCTCCCACTCCCATACACACAATTTATTGCTCCTATATGTAGGTACCTATACCTTTGTGATTAATAATGTTTGTGTAATATTTTTCTAACTCTTAGCATTCAGATAATGGATGTAATAAAAATAATCAAATGAAACAAACGTTATACGTGTAAACATGTATGTACACTAAATTTTTCTGTAAACAATTTAGTGTACACACAGTGTAGGTGGTCAACAGGTTAACAGTGGTAGAGCCACGCGGCAGCTTTTGCTGTCGCACGGATGGGCCGGCTCGAACCGGGGTAGTACCACGACCTCACAGAAAACCAGCGTGAAGTAGAGGTTTACCTCTGCGTTTCGCTTGGTGAGTGCAGGTGGCCGGAGGCCCTTTTTACTGGAAATGAGGCATTCCATCTTAGTCCTCACGGGTGACAACGCTAGATGCGTTTTTGCGATTTTGATTTGTAATAGGATAGATGTAGATGTCTATGGGCCGCAGCAACCACTTACCATCAGGTGGACTGTGTGCTCGTTTGTCACCCTTATCCTATAAAAAAAAACACGAATGGAAATTCAGTAGAAATAATTTAATGAAAATGAACCATCTAATATCACCTGGAACCTTTCGTCGGCCAACACGAATGAACGTTCATAATGGTAAATACACATTTGCCTAAACATGTATTTTCTCACTTTGACTTTTGGAGTTAATCTATAGAGTGCAGTGGTTTTCAAAACTCTACTACATTTAATATATTATAGCTGATAATGAAAATAAATATCATATTAAGGTTTCAACAAAACTTAAACAACAAATATTGATCATGAGCTCTGATGATACAAGTGATTGAAATTTCAGACTATTCAGATATCTAGATATAGATGAAAACTGAAATATAGAATTTCATTTCATTTATACATATATACATATATAGATATACACAGTTCAAGCTAACATAAAGCGTGTAATAAAAGCAAATACTTGTTTAGATCGGAAACAAGTTTCTTGTTGCAACCATGCATGCACCCCGCATTGGGGGAATTCCGATAACATTTTCTACGAGATGGCAAGAGGTCGGTATTTTGGTTTATTATTTTATGTGTAGGTACGTGTATTTTCCAATCACTTTATTTTACATCCTCATTATTAAATAAATGATTTAAGAATTATGAATAAAAGATTTATGGACTTTAGAATCTAAGTAATTACGCTTGGTTTTATAAATAACCTGTTTGAAATTATGATATTGATAATAATGCACGTTGGATATGTAAACAAGAGCATATTATGTAGCTAAGCAAGATACAGCAGATTGACAATTATTGAATAATTGACATGTTTTATTCAGAAATTCAGAGGATATTACGAAAATTAACTAAAAAAGATTTGATAACGTTTTAAATCTTAAAAGATATCGAAAACCTATCGTCGAAACGATAACTCATTAAATTTATTCATCAGATTTTTCGAGAAAGAGATGTCGGGTTGTTAAGTTGTTTAAGCGACAGTAGGCGTATAATAAGGATACGAGGTCGTGGGTTCGAAGTCGTGAACCACTCCTAACCTCTTGTACTGTCGAGCGATTTTTCACTGTATTTTTCGCAGGCTGTGATTTATAATTAAAAAAATACCGCCATCTGTGACTGATGCTACAGGAAATGATCAAATAATAATACTATACTTTATTTGGAAGAGCAACAACTACATTCCCACACGAACTCCTGTTTCTAATAGACTTGTGTTGTGTAACTGTAAAGCACGTGATGACATTTGGCTACATGTGAAGAAGCTTTTCGCTAGTACACCATGAACAGTATTTCTCTATAGTTTTGTTAGAAGTGTATATTTAAACTATTTTACTTATTATTATAAATCATTTTAATGCGTTTGAACGAGTCGATAAAAAGCGATGCAAGAATCGACGCAGTTGCAATAACATAAGATTTTGATACAGCGATTGAACACAAAAAAATCGCTTAAAAATGATGAAATATAAATTCATACAATTTCCCCTCGCTGGTGATTAAAGTATCATGTATGTTTTGGCCCTTTTTCTTTCTTATAGCTAAAGCAAAACAAAGAAGACTTAGAAGGTGGGTTGGTGATTGTGTTAATAGACGCTTCTGTCCATATTCGACTAATAATATTTCCTTGATAACTATTTTTTTTTTGGTATTTCATTGGTCAACATTTACTTTTAATTTCTATTTAATAAGACAAGGTGATGTACTCACATTTTGTTATGACAAAGAGATCCTTACTCTTACTATATCTAAATCATGTCATGTTAGATAAGGTAAGAATAATCCTAATCATTTTAATACCTACTAAATTGCAACTACTCATGAAGTAAAAACAAAAGACAGTCTATAGAGGTTTCCATGATGTGTGCATTTCGAAATATTTTATAAAAAAAGTGATTTTATTTTTTAATCGGAAATGTAACCTTCGCGTTTGACTGGCCAGTTCTATTTTTCGTAGACCTTAATAAATCATTATTTCGCATGTGCCATTAATTTCATTGTATTAAGTGTAGGTAAGATAATTTATTGTTAAGGAAAATAAATTTTATTTATACACAGAGGTCAAAGGTTCTTCTTCTTTTCCATCAACCCACTTCTTTTCCAAAGTCCATAGATGGACATGAGGCTTTCAAGTTACGAGCCGTCACTTTCCATGAGGAAGGATCACACATAGCAAACGGATTAACGATGGCATTACCTACGGACTTTGACATTATTGCCCATTGTCGGTTTGAGTATTTTGTCGATGTTTTGTAACGTTTGAGAAAGTTTGTTTTCTTTAACGATAAAAGTTGATTTAGAAAATTTTAAATAATGAAGAATTAAAACAAAGATTGCAATCCATTGTGTTGCAAATTAAGGGGATTGTGGCGGTGTTGTGACAAAGCACAATCGACTGGTCGATGAATCAATAAGGACCTAATAAACGAAAGAGGCGCGGACGGCCGCACACGGCGGGCCACCGCAGAGATGACCACCTGTATACAACGTTCTTCTTAAAAGGAACGAATCTTTTGAAATATCAAGTCTAAAAATTATATTATTAACGTTTCATCCATCAGATAATGTCACCATTTGTATCAATATATACATTATCAATTTACCATCAATCGGTATCAATTATACCATTAATTCTTCCAGAAACAATTTTTATGTTGAAATGTTTTTATATTAACAACTCGCTAGGTCATTGTGATAGACAATGGTGGATGTTTAACATATTATTATTTTTGTACAATCTGTGAAGTATCAAAGAGTGAGGGCGACCCTGGAGAAGAAATTTAATATTTGTGTGATGAAAACGTCCCCAATTTGCGAAAAATTGTTGAGTTTATAAGTCTCATTTCGTTACAACACACATACCTGGCAAAGTCATTAATATCTATATTTCTGTCACATTAATTATCCCTTTCTAAATACTCGT